TATCCCCTGCAGCACAGTAGTAGTCGGCCTCGTCCTCAGCCAGGACCCCGCTGATGGTCAGCGTGGCCGTGTTCCCTGAGTTGGCGCCAGAGAACCGCTCAGGGATCCCCGAGGGCCGCTTGTTATCTTCATAAATGACCGTGACAGGGGCCTGGCCCTGCTGCTGCTGGTACCAGTAAGCATATTTTCTTCCAATGTTGTCTCCCTGGCAGGTGAGTTTGACCGTGGATCCCAGGGCCGCCGACAGGGACGCCGGCTGGGTCACCTCATAGGAGTCCACGACACCTGCAGAGGGAAAGCAGAGGCTGACTGGACATGAAGGCCTGGCCCAGAGGAGCCTTCCAGCGTGGCCATCTTGGCCCAGGGCCCCTGAGCGCAGCAAACTCTCGTCGTGCTCAGCCTCAGCGAGTCCTGGGCTGGCCAGGGGCAGGGGCATTTGAGCGAGCTGGTCCCCGACTTTCTCTGACAGCACAGACCCAAGTCTCACGCAGAGTGGTGAGCACAGTGGGGTCTCTGCCTACCACCCCCATCCTGACCACAATCCTGAGCACCCCACAGCCGCCTGCCAAGCTCAGAGTCGCCTACTGGGCCAGAGCACTGGGCGGCAGCAGAGACCCGGCCAGCACCTGAGCAGAGAGCCAGGAGGCCCAGGAGGAGACGGGTCCAGGCCATGGTGAGCTCTGAGCTGCTCCAGGCTGAGGCGGGCAGGGTCCCCCAGGTCTGTCTTATCCCCTGTGGAGACAGCTGCCGGTATGCAAATCAGCCAGGCCAGCTGCTTTTGGGGAGCTCTGTGGCTAGGGGAGACTCAGCCTCAAGGGACAGGGGTGTGGGGGTGTCAGAGGGTGAAGGGTGCTATTCTCTAGGTTCCCCACCCAGCTCAAGGACCCTCCTCTGATGGCGCACGGTCTGGCTGACTCTCCTCCCCAAGTCTCTTTTTGGGCTCTCTGGGGGACGCTGTTCTGGGAAGATCAGGGGGCGTCCGTGTGCCCACAATGGACCATAGGTGCCAACTCGGTCTTTGGTGGGGTCAGACACACCCGGGGGCAGCTCAGAGCAGAGGGGATAAACGTCCACCCGGGATATCTCCATGGATCGGGGAGGTCACGCTGTTCCTCCCCAGGGTGGATCCCCAGGGCCCGGCCTGGCCCCAGAATCCCAGGGTGGGCTCGGGGCACAGGGACACCGTGTGCTACCCGGCAGGCTGGGGGGTCCGGGAGACTCCAGCAGCTGCCGTGAATATTCACCCACCTCACTGTAGTGACGGCTGGGGAAGGGCAGAAGTAGCCACTGTCTCCGCTTGCACCAGAGCGCGGCCACCGGGTCCGGGCCCCCACCCCGCCGACAGACGGATCGTCAGGCAGGACGGGGTCTGCGAGCAGGGGAGGGGAGCTCCGTGTGACCTTGGGCAGAGGGTGAGCACAGTGAGGTCATTGCAGTGTGTGCTTGGGGGTGGTCACAGCAGTCTGGGCGGGCCGGGAACTGGCCGTCCCAGAAGCTGAAGGTCACCAGGCCACGGAGTCTGAAAGTGCTGGGTGAGTCAAGGGTCACCCTGGAAGGGAGCTGGTCAGCGTCCTCCTGGTCTCAGCCCTCCTGTCCTGTCTGGGTCTGTGACACCTGCTCGTGGCCCTCTCCTGCTCCCTGGTGGCCGCCCTGCGCTGCTGCAGGAGGCCTGGGCATCCCCTCAGGTGAGGCCCAGAAGCTGAGTCTCAGGTGCTGACCCCTGGCTGGGGCTGCTGACGGACCTGGGCTGCTGCCTCCTGTCACCCCTGTGTCCTCAGATTAGCTGCCCCGGCCTCAGGTCACCATGAAACCTGAGCTTGACCCCTTAGGGGAGGCTGCCCAGGGCGCACTGAGACGCACTTGCCAGGCCGTCAGTACAGGGGCCTGGGAGACCAGGATCCCCCAGGGGCTATTCGTGGCCAGCTGTGAGCTTGCCTCTGGGCGCTTGGGTGTCCCTGCCCCAGACCACAGAACATGGACCTGAAGCATTGTGACCGCACTTCAGAGGGGGACACGTTCCCTTGGGGCCTACGGCAGGAGCACGCCACAGCCTGGTCGGGAGCTCCGTGTGTGCTGGTCAGTGACCTTCGCTGTGAATTAGCAGTGGTGCTGGGCTGAGATCGGGTGCTCTAGAGTGGGACGTGATGGCTGGGGCTGCAGCAGCCATGCTGAGGCCTGATGTCCCCCAGGGAGAAGCAACGTCTGCCCAGGGGGTGGGCAAATCGGCACGGGACAGGATGAGGGGCTTCGTGGGGTGGAGGCTTCTTGGTCAGTCGCCTCATCCGCGCTTACCCAGGAGAGACGGTCTGGGTGGTCGTATCACGTCTCTTGAGGAGAAGACATGTGGTTTTCCGGCCTCGGACAGGAACAGAAATCAGTGACTGAGAACGACAGTGGATGATCCGCACTCAGACCCCTGGTGCCAGGGCAGACCGGAGCTGGGGGCTGTGTGGTGACGCTGCGGAAGCCCCTCGTGGAGAGAGGACTTGGGAGATGTGAGCTGGGAG